ATTGTGATTTTACATCACACTCTTCAGTTTTTTTTTTTTTTTTTGGTATTTAAGCAGCAATTCCAAGTTATGATAAAGCCAACAGCTGTTGCTGTAAGACTAATGTAAAGTGAGTCCCTTCAAAGTTCACCAAAACAGAACAAAAATCCTAAATAGCTGCATTTCCATCAAGTTGCTAGAGAGGCTGACTGTAGTATTGGTAACCTAGCAACCAACAGTAAACAAGCCAAGCATAAAAGAGACACCTGTGCTGCATACTTATTAGGGTTGGGTAGATAGACGATGCCATCGTCAATTGCCGATAGACATCACGATCCTCCGCCCCACCCCCATCGCCAGGGCCGCCGCATCCAGAGAGGCAACCTAGGCGGCCGCTTAGGGTGGCAGAATAAAGAGGGCGGTGTCTGCGACACCTCCCTCAAAACCCGCGTCCTCAGTTATGCCCGCAACACCTCCCTCACCACCCACCTCAGTTATCCGCGCCTAGGGCGGCAGAATAGAGAGGGCGGCGTCCACGACACCTCCCTCACCACCCGCGTCCTCATCATCCACATTTCTTTCATTTTTAATTACCAACTAGGGTTGTGCCGATAGACGAGACATCGTCCATTGCCGATAGATATCACGATGCTAAGCTGACATCACAATCCTCCGCCCCACCCCCGTCGCCAGGGCCGGCGCATCCATAGAGGCGACCTAGGTGGCCGCTTAGGGTGGCAGAATAAAGAGGGCAGCGTCTGCGACACCTCCCTCACCACCCGCGTCCTCAGTTATGTCCGCTACACCTCCCCCTTTACCCACCTCTGTTTTCCGCACCTAGGGCGGCAGAATAGAGAGGGCAGCGTCCGCGACACCTCCGTCACCACCAGCGTCCTAATCATCCACATTTTTCCCATATTTAATTACCAACTAGGGTTGTGCCGATAGACGATGCTATTGTCCATTGCCGATAGATATCACGATGCTGAGCTGACATCACAATCCTCCGCCCCACCCCCGTCGCCAGGGCCGGCGCATCCATAGAGGCGACCTAGGTGGCCGCTTAGGGTGGCAGAATAAAGAGGGCAGCGTCTGCGACACCTCCCTCACCACCCGCGTCCTCAGTTATGTCCGCTACACCTCCCCCTTTACCCACCTCTGTTTTCCGCACCTAGGGCGGCAGAATAGAGAGGGCAGCGTCCGCGACACCTCCGTCACCACCGGCGTCCTAATCATCCACATTTTTCCCATATTTAATTACCAACTAGGGTTGTGCCGATAGACAAGACATCGTCCATTGCCGATAGATATCACGATGCTAAGCTGACATCACAATCCTCCGCCCCACCCCCGTCGCCAGGGCCGGCGCATCCATAGAGGCGACCTAGGTTGCCGCTTAGGTTGGCCGAATAAAAAGGGCAGCGTCTGCGACACCTCCCTCACCACCCGCATCCTCAGTTATGTCCGCTACACCTCCCCCACTACCCACCTCAGTTTTCCGCACCTAGGGCAGCAGAATAGAAAGGGGGGCCTCCGCAACAACTCCATCACCACCGGCGTCCTCATCATTTACATTTTCCCATATTTAATTACCAACTAGGGTTGTGCCGATAGACGATGCCATTGTCCATTTCCGATATATATCACGATGCTGAGCTGACATCACAATCCTCCGCCCCACCCCCGTCGCCAGGGCCGGCGCATCCATAGAGGCGACCTGGGTGGCAGAATAAAGAGGGCAGCGTCTGCGACACCTCCCTCACCACCCGCGTCCTCAGTTATGTCCGCTACACCTCCCCCTTTACCCACCTCTGTTTTCCGCACCTAGGGCAGCAGAATAGAGAGGGCAGCGTCCGCGACACCTCCATCACCACCAGCGTCCTCATCATTTACATTTTTCCCATATTTAATTACCAACTAGGGTTGTTCCGACTGACGGTGCAATCGTCCATTGCCGATGGCCGACAAACTTCACAATGCTGAGCCACAATTTTCAACTTATGATCTCAGTCTATTGACGCATAAGCCGAAGTCATCCACTTGGTTAAGTCGCCTTACTAGGCAGCCAGTTTTTTTCTCTGACTCGTTCCCTAAACAAGTTACAAAATGGCGTAAACAGCAGTTCAAGTCAACGACAACACACTAAGATTGATAGTCTCTCTGTGAACACTGCCCATTCCAATTCAATCAGCGGGCGCACTTCGTCAAGCTCCATTAAATCCTCACACACTTAATGTCGCACTTACAACCCACACCAGATGCTGCCTGTCCCTTTGAGGAGCGAGAGATTGGTCACGGAGCGGACAGAGATGGATGAGGACATGATTTACAGGACAGCAGGGAGGAGGAAAAGAGGACACTCCAAAAGACAACATTAGAGTCATTAGAGACTGAAGAAAGCAAGCAAACAGGGTGGTGAGACATGTATCATGTTGTAATTATTGTTTTACCAATGTGGAAGCTTCTGTAGGCCTGTCACAAAATCTGTTGTAGGATATATTGCAGCAAAATATACTGCAATAAACAATATTGTCGTCATTTTAGGACCCTTTTATGCCACTTATTATTATATAATGCCAGAATGACAATATAATATCATCACAATGCAAGTACACTCTTCCAAATAAACACATCGTATTTCGTTCTCAAGAATATTTCATTTATTATAGTCATTTGTACAGTTTAATAATCAGGCATTGGAGTCAGTATGTGAAAATGCATATCATAAATAAATAAATAAATATTAATAAAGGTTAATATAAAAATGCAAGGTCAAGAGTAATAGAGGCTGCGATATCTGCGACTACATGACACCCACATGAAAATATACTATAGTGAATTACAGTAAATACTACAGTGTTTATTTGAGAGCGCACAAGAAGATCTGCACTTGAGCAGAGGATATTTGAGGGGGCGTGCAAGAAGTTTTGTGCATGAGCAGAGGAAATCGACGCGCAGGCAGAGATTCGCATCTTTGCATAACAAAAATCCGCTCACAACATTTCTCCATTTGTCAGTCTAATAACGTCATGTAACGCCATCACATCTTTAGAAATGGAAAGATAATATATTTAAATTCATGCGAAATATTAAAAACTACAGAATTCCCACAAAATTGTATATATTTTTTGTTTCTCTTGAATTTTGCTGTTTTTAAAATTTTTTATTTTATATTTTCCATTAGCATATACATTTGGGTGTGCTAATTTTGGACCGTTATCGTTAAGTTACTTTGCTAGATGAGTTCCAGATTGGGCTTTAGTACTGACTTAACTAATGCACAGCTGAAGTCAGAATTATAAGCCCCCATTTGATTTTTTTTCTCTTTTTTTAATATTTCCCAAATGATGTTTGACAGATTCAGAAAAATTTCACAGTATTTCCTATAATATTTTTTCTTCTGGAGAAAGTCTTATTTGTTTTATTTCGGCTAGAATAAAAGCAGTTTTTAATTTTTTTATACACCATTTTAAGGTCAATATCATTAGCCCCTCTAAGCTATATTATAGTCGAGGCAGTGGCGCAGTAGGTAGTGCTGTCGCCTCACAGCAAGAAGGTCGCTGGTTCGAATCTCGGCTCAGTTTGCGTTTCTGTGTGGAGTTTGCATGTTCTCCCTGCCTTCGCGTGGGTTTCCTCCGGGTGCTCCAGTTTCCCCCACAGTCCAAAGACATGCGGTACAGGTGAATTGGTTAGGCTAAATTGTCCGTAGTGTATGAGTGTGTGTGTGTGGACGTTTCCCAGAAATGGGTTGCGGCTGGAAGGGCATCCGCTGCGTAAAAAAACTTGCTGGATAAGTTGCCGGTTTATTCCGCTGTGGCGACCCCGGATTAATAAAGGGACTAAGCCGACAAGAAAATGAATGAATTAATGAATGAATAAAGCTATATATATATATATATATATATATATATATATATATATATATATATAGATTATATACAGATATATATATATATATATATATATATATATATATATATATATATATATATATATATATATATAGATATTATAATTATAATAGTCCACAGAGCAAACCATTGTTAAGCCTTTAAATGTCACTTTAAGCTGTATAGAAGTGTCTTGAAGAATATTTAGTCTAATATTATGGGCTGTCATCATGACAGAGAAAATAAATCAGTTATTAGAGATGAGTTATTAAAACTATTATGATTAGAAATGTGTTGAGAAATCTTCTCCTCGTTAAACAGAAATTGAGGAAAAATAAACAGGGGGGTTACTAATTCTGACTTCACCTGTATATACACAAATATAATATTGTAAAGCTTCCTATAGAAAATAATCATCTAAGCGAGAGATTTATGGGAGGTGTACACATATTTGTTGAGCACCGTATACTAAATCTGTGTTTTTGTCGCATGTTTTCTGATGCAACTGGCCTGAAACAGCCTTAAACACACGGTTATAAATCATATGCTGAATTTCCAGCAACATGACACTTCTATACTCCTCTATGTCCTGTTACCATGACATAAAATGAATCACGCGCTGATATCAAGTCAGGTCACACCACCCACCTCTATCAAACGCACTCCATCAGAATAATGCTGTCCGTCATCTCCCAGTAATAAACGGGAAGTATTCGTCAGAACTGCTCTCACAAAAGGAGGACGCTGGGTTTTTAAGTAGCGGTGTTTCTTCAGAAAGTGTCGTTTTCAAAAGGCGTGAGCGCATTCACAACATGACAAACTTTGAAGAGCAGCTCTAATTAAGAACACATTCACACCGTTTCCATTATCCAGACACCTCATAATTAAAAGCGCACGTCTTTCCAGCAGACCTTGACTACGGCTTTTACATTTATGGGACTGTTTTGGTATGTCTGTGTGTAGGTGGATGAATATAAAAATGAGGCAGCAGAGAGGAGAAAGCATCACATTGTGTGCGTGCGTGTGTGTGTGTGTGTGTGTGTGTGTGTGTGTGTGTGTGTGTGTGTGTGTGTGTGTGTGTGTGTGTGTGTGAGTAAATCCTGATATTACAGTTTTGAAGAGCTGAATTACCTGATGGCCTCTCATCTTCTGGAAGTGGCTGATGGTGTCGCTAATGGCGTAAACCCTCACGTGGCCCATATGCAGTCGGCCAGATGGGTATGGGAACATGGAGAGGACGTAGAATTTCTTCCGGGAGCTCTAAATATGAAAAACAAAATAGTCATTATAGGTTTCATCGATATCGATACTACTACGGGTTGTCCTGATACCATTAATTAATCTTACGATAGTATACCAGCTGAAGTATCACGATACCAAGCAGTATTGCGACATTGTAATACATAACTCAAATTATAAAGACAAATGTCAGAAAAACTATATTTTATGTTATAATAGGCCTACTTGAATTTAATTCATAATTCTCTTGAGGCCAAAAAGTATTACTTGCACGTCACTTCACCTAAAATTTACTCCTTCTTTCTAGGGATACTCAAAAGAACCGATTAATCATTCACCGAAAGCGTGCGTTTGTAACCAATTAATGGGATCAGTTAAACCATTAAAAAATATTATTTTATATGTTTTAAAGTTTGGCTGCATGAGGAACCGATCCCCAAAAGCGCTTTTTGCATTGAGAGGCACATCTGTTGAAAGGTTTACTAATGGTCGCGAGTGTTTTAAGCGCTGCTTATGCGCTCTGTGCTGTTGGAAACACCAGCAGTTTAAAAATAAACTAAATAACAAGCATAAAATAAATAGTCCTGCCCTGGGTATTTTTCACTGAAATTACAAATTTAGGTCTCAAAACTGGCTGCACAGTGGCGTATTGGGTAGCACGCTCGCTTTACAGCATGAAGGTCGCTTTCTGTGTGGAGTTTGCATGTTCTCCCCGTGTTGGCGTGGGTTTTCAGGGTGCTCCGGTTCCCCCACAAGTCCAAAGACATGTAGGTGAACTGGGTAAGCTAATTTTTTCATAGTGTGTGTGTGTGTGTGTAAATGGAAGTGTATGGGTGTTTCCCAGTGATGGGTTGCTGCTGGAAGGGCATCTGCTGCGTAAAACATGTGCTGGATATGCAGTAATAGGATAGGATTAGACTATTAGCATCTCCCTTTAAAGAGAACAATTTAAATGAATAGTTTTTCTAAAAATGAAAATTGTCATCATTTACTCAACCTTTACTTGTTCCAAACCGGTTTGTCTTTTTTTCCTTCTGTTGAACACAAAAGAAGATACTTTAAACAAAGCTGGAAACCTGTAACCATTGACTTACATTGACAAAGTATTTGTTTTTCCTTTTGTAGAAGTTAATAGCTACAGGTAACTGATGTAAAAAAAAAAAATAATAATAATAAAAAAAAAAAAATATATATATATATATATATATAGATATATTTATTAAATTTTTATTTTTATTTATTTTTACATATATATAATGAATCAAGGAAACATTGACTTTCGTCATTTCTTTGCCTACTTTCATTTAATATTTGGGTTGGGTGTAATAGTACACCACCTTTTTTTTAGAACTACACCACTGGTACATACTACATAATATTTCACTAGATATTGTTCAACACACTATTTTTCAGCTTAAAGTGACATTTAAAGGCTTAACGAGGTTAATTAGGGTAATTAGGCAAGTCAATGCATAACAGTGGTTTGTTTTGTAGACAATCCAAAACAAATATTGCTTAAGGGGGCATATATAATATTAAGCTTAAAATTATTTAAAACAAATTAAGAACTGCTTTATTAATAATTAAATATAATATATTATTATAATAATATAATAATGAATTGATATAATAATAATAATATATAATAATATATATAATAATATAATAATAAAAATATAATAATAATAATATATAATAATATAATAATAATAATAGTAATAATAATAATAATAATAATAACATTAATAATAATAATAATAATAATAATAATAATAATTATATATAATAATATATTATTTTTAATAATTTAAGCCGAAATAAAATAAATAAGACTTTCTCCAGAAGAAAACATATTATCAGACATACTGTGAAAATTTCTGAATCTGTTAAACATAATTTAGGAAATATTTGGGGGAAAAAAAGAAAATTTACAGAAGGGCTGATCCTTTTGACTTTAACTGTATACAGACAGAACTCAGTCTGCTGGAGCCATTCTCAGACTAGCATGAGGTCTTCCCATCAGCTGTTTAAAGGCGTTCTGCTGACCTGCGAGACCCGCTTTATGCTCATTCACTCAGTCAGACTCTCAGCACGGCTTAATGATTCATGATGGCTTTGAAGAAGCTCGCCGCACTGGCCAAGCATTAATCAGCGCAGGTCAAAAAGCCTGAATAATTCAGCGGCTGAAAGAGACAGAGACGTGTTCGAGCGGAGAACACGTCGCTCCTTATAACCCGTGATTCAGTCTTCAGGTGGGTGGATAAACGCTGATCAATTTCATGTAAACAACTGAGGTCGCATTTCACAAAGGCAACCCCAATGAAATCTGTTCGCAGCTCACACAGAAGCATGTTTAGTTCTTTTTATTTTTTATTTGGAGCACAATGACTAAAAGAAGGACCCCTTGCGAAGTAAAGGGCACTATCATACACCCGGTGCAAAAGGCTCAAGACGTGTATGACGCGATTTGTTGCTTTTTTCAGACTAGCGCATCCGTCATTTTCACGTTTTGCGTCACGTTGTTTAAATAGCAAAATCCATTTGCGCCACTTTGTGGACTTATGGGTGTGCTGGTCTATAAAAGAGGTGTGTTAAGGCGCATTGTTGGCTCGTTGCTATTTTGAGGAACTGAAATCAACTAAACCAACTAAAAGCAGGTGTAAAGTCCAGTGTAGAGGGCGTTAGTTATGTGCCTATGCAGGTCCAAACACTTAATACACAAAGGTTGTACAGCAATACACAAATATCTTTACATATGAAAAAATAAAGGATTAAAATGTTTTTTTAATTAAAAAAAATCCACATGAATATAAAAAAAAACTTAGGGGGCTTTTTTTTTTATTTTATTCCTGACACTTTGCATTAGTATAAAATTATTATGAGCAGTATTATTTATTATATGAATATTTACATTTGTTTTAATAAACACAAGTTTAGATTTGTCCACATGTGGGGTTTTGAAGACGTCAGCATCACGATATGGGGCATAAGAACAGGACGTGTGCTTGGATATAACTGAGCACACTTCATTATTATTGTTCATTTATTGCTTTGGAACTGAATTTAGAAATAGTTTTGAAGCAAATCTTTGCGCTTAAACTAAATTAAATCTGTGGGCTAATGGATGTGTTCAGAGGAGTGAGCGTTTCCTCACTCCACCAAAGGAGTAAAGAGTAAAAGTAAAGAGAAAGCAAAGAGGCTGAATGGAGGAGGCTCGTTCTTTATCCTCTGGCTGCAGATGCTCTGTTTAACTCTTTACTCGTTAGTGAAACATTCAGTTTTTACACTTACTACACCATGTACATAGCAAATGCGCCATGGTGCGACACAACTGACTCTTAAAGGGAATGAGAGATTGGCTTAAATCACATTAAGCTCAAAACACACCCAGAACTCATTAAGAGAATAAGCACAACCCTGTTAGACCATACGCCGGGGCGCAGAGCGTATTTCATAAAAGTGGATTCGAACACGCCCTTATGCATGTAAAAGAGCCCAAAAGCATTAATTTGTATATTTGCTCTACTTTATTTATCCCTGCTTGTATTTCGTTGATTATATTTTATGCACTCCGCTACAAAATCCTCCCAAACAATCTAAAATGACTAATTAAGTGATGTTGTGAAAAATTGCGCAATAAATAAATTTTAAAACTGAAAAAAAAATAAAAATAAAAATCGCAAAAAATGTAAATATGGCAATGTGTTTTTTTGTCCCAATATGGTGCAGACCTAATAATTCCACAGGGTAATTTCAGTAACTCTATTTGGTATGAATGGACAGCAAGTGTGATTTAGACTGGGATTTTCTAGGCGAGTGCATCAACATACAAAATTAATCCAAAAATATATCAAATAAACATATTAAAGCACAGATGAAAACAGCAGAAAGATGATAAATATAACATATACACAGCACTTGATGGTTTTCGGTAAAGTTTAACAGTATTGAGCAGGATGACACACACACACACACAAACCAAGCCAAAAATATCTGAATATGCGTTCTGCGTAATACCAATGAAAGGACACAAGGAGAAAGTGCTGAACTACTGAAATGTATTTAATACGTTATATAAAAGGCTTTTTTAGGTGATGGAAGCTTTAAGACCTCTCATATGGAGAATGAAGTCACATGCATTGCTCAGGTGTGAGTTTCTCAGAAACTATCAGATCTGAGATTTATTCTGTATTTTATATTGGGTTCAAGTTAGGTGATTGGCTAGGCCATTCTACAGCTTGGTTTTCTTTCTCTGAAAGCATTTGAGAGTTTCCTTGGCTGTGTTTTGGGTCATTGTCTTGCTGAATTGCTTTCATCTTCATCCTCCTGCTAATGTAGATGTTGGACTGTAGCAGCAAATATTATTTTACACCGAGGAAGGGCAGAGGGCTGTTAAAGGACTACTGAGACATTTCAGCTGCTGTCTGGGCTTTCCCTGCCAAACTACACCTCCCTTTCTTCATGTGTTCAGTACTTGTTTTCCTGTGTCGTTTCGTTTTATTACGCATAACTTCATTTGTATGCTAATTAGTTTTGTTTTCTTTGCATATATGGATTTATTTGATTGTTACCAACATCTGGTGAAAACAGCACCTTTAGAAATACGTTTTCTGAGAAAAATGATGACGTGTTCAATACTTATTTCCCCCTATTTCATGCTCTTGATATGCTTGTTGAGAATGGGATAATACATGCTGCCAGGGATGGTCTCAAGTTATTTAGCTAAATTAGCTTTAGTTTAGCTTTAGGGGCTAATAATATTGACCTTAAAATGGTGTTCAAAAAATTAAGAACTGCTTTTATTTTAGCCGAAATAAAACAAAAATGACTTTCTCTAGAAGAAAAAATATTATCAGACATACTGTGAAAATTTCCTTGCTCTGTTAAACATCATTTGGGAAATATTTAAAAAAAAGGAAAATTCAAAGGGGGTGAATAATTCTGACTTTAACTGTACACTTATACTATATTGTAAAGCATATAGACAATATTAAATTTAAAAGAGAGATGTGTGAGGGGTGAATTCATTTATGCTGAGCACTGTACATCCAGACTCGAGCTTTCAGTCTACCGTTCTGTCTCTGAATGACTGCGATAATAAATGTGTTCAGCAAATGCAGCTTCACAAAGAGCCACAATGGAGAAAACGGCGTCCTCGTAAAAAAGCAGACCACTCTCTGTTCCTCCTGACGGTTTGAAAGCCAACAGAGACAAACCCGGACAAAAGTGGCTTCCCTGTAAAGGCTTGTCTTTTCCTCCAGGAGCTGAAAGAGTTTCTTTCGATCAAAACTCTCAGGAGACACACACTCTTCAAAGTGAAAACATGACATGCTAAAATCAGGATTATTCACGCATTTCCACACTGCTTTTTCCATTCAGAGACGTTCCACAGCAATAAGTCTGATAGGAAGCGCTATAAATGCATTGTAAATTAGATCCATGTGACTATGCTTGCAATCAAATGATTGGGATTAGTCTGATTTCAAAATAATAACAGAAAAATTATAATAATGATAATAATAATAATCATCGTCATGATTAGCACAATCGCCTCACAGCAAGAAGGTCGCTGGTTTGAGCCTCCGCTGGGCCAGTTGGCATTTCTGTGTGGAGTTTGCATGTTCTCCCCGTGTTGGTGTGGGTTTCCTCCGGGTGCTCCGGTTTCCCCCACAGTCCAAACACATGTGCTATAGGGGAATTGAATAAGCTAAATTTGCCTTAGTGTATGTGTGAATGAGAGTGTATGGGTGTTTCCCAGTGCTGGGTTGCAGCTGGAAGGGCAACCGCTGCATAATAAATATGCAGGATAAGTTGGCATCTTTTCCTGCTGTGGCGACCCCAGATTAATAAAGGAACTAAGCCAAAAAGAAAATGAATGATGCGCATTGAAGATTTTAGTTTACTAGGTTTACTGTTGCCAGTGGCTTGCTTGGTTTGGGACTTGTGGAGCAGCATATTGATGGATTTGCTCTACAATGTTTAAACTTTCAGCAGTGAAAATTAAACCACACTGAACTGAACTGGACTTCAACTCTGAAAACTGGACTCACAATATTGATTCAATTTACTATATATAATATTGCATGTGAAGCTGCTTTGACACAATCTACATTGTAAAAGCATTACCAGGCTATCCAGCGTTTCCTCCAGAGTTTCATCTAATTTTGTACGTTTCATTTTTGATCTTAGGACTTTTGTTTTAATGGAATTTGATGCCGAACGTAAAGAAAAACCTATGCATTTCGTGACTCAGTGGTCCTTTAAGGTAATCAAAAATCACTGTTTTCATGGTAGACTCTTAATCAGAGCATTATCTTAATCATATTAAAATTGGACTATTATTGTCCATATAAATTTAGTCAGTGAAATTGCCAGATGGTGACGCAAGCTGTCAAAGACACCGAATTCCTTTCCCTTTAAGTGGTTTGTATGCGCCCTTAAATGTTTCATTAAGTTTGACGTGTTTTCATCCGCATCTGCTTCACGTTGTTGTGTCAGACTCCTTGTGAAATACAGCCATACTTAAGAACGCTTAGTTTTAGCAAATTTGATGAACACGATTGTGCATGTTGAATCTAAAGAGAGAGTTGCTCAGGCCGCCCTGTCCTGCGTGCATTGCGTGTCTTTATTTCTGTGGTAAATATGGCTGTCGAGCCAGGATCTTGATGGTTTATTGCGAATATATTGTTTACATGATGAAATCCGTGTTACAAGTGAAATGGAAATTCTGATAAATAATTATATTTTGAATTTAAATAGTGTTTTGTATTACGTTAACATTCATTTTTAATGTGAATAGTCAAAATGACAAGTTTCAGTCTTTTAAATGCGATTAATCACAAAAAAGGTGTGATTAATTAGTTAATTTCTTTAATCAATTGTCAGCACTAATATGTACATATCTATTTTATATTGCAGCCTCCTGCGATCCAACATAACGAAAGTGCAGTCAATTTGCCTACAGTGCATTGTACAATTTCCTAAGCATTTTCATACGTGTCAAAATAAGATTAGTCACTAACAATCATCCCATTTGCTGAAACACAGAGAAATCTGTGGCCACGTTTAGCTTCAAAATATCCCCAGAGTGGATGAAGACATCAATGTTGAGAAGCCTTTATGATAACCGGTGCAAATTAAAGTGCAGTTAATAGTGAAATCGGTTAACCATTGCATCCCTATCCCCAACAGCCCACAAGTGTTAAACCCTGCCTGACCTGATCCTCCGCGTCTGTCCGCCACTGCTCCTGTATGCGTCCGTGCCACCACTGCTCCACTCGACGGCGCGTCTCGGCCTTGTACTCTTTTTCCCACACACCTGATTCACTGAACAGACTGCAGACGCTGACTCGGATCACAGGATTAGACCGACCCGGCCCCCACAAACACACAGCAGGCCTCCACACGGCCATCACTCCAGGACCTGTGGGTGCAGACGGTTCGAGATTACATTCAGGATTCAGTGCAGGTAATGCAGTGCAAAGTTACAGAAGATTTTATCGGATTTAAAAGGCAACTATCTTATCCCTTTTTTAGGAGTTAATATGAGTCTTTTGTGTCTCCAGAGTGTGTCTGTAAAGTTTCAGCTCAAAACACCCATCAGATTATTTACTATAGCTTTCAGAAAGTTGGGATTTTCTGCTCTGAACACACTGTCGCTGTTTTTGTGGTCTGTGCCTTTAATGCTGGTTTTCCCCGCCCACATTTACTCGCGCCTGTCAGAGCTTGCCTCAATCTCCGCTGCGTCAGATAAACAGCACAGTGACAGACATGAAGGAAGCAGATCTCAAGTAACGTTTGTGAGAAATACTACAGAAAGAACTTTCCCAATGATTATTTGATGTATTTGTTGTGGAGTTAATTCAAGCCTTTCTGCAACGAGGAGTCAATGTCATAACAAAGTTCACGCACACAGACACACAGCGGAGACACACACACAACGCGCATGTTTAGCACTGTTTTTGCATGCACATGTAAAAAGATACAGTTTAATCTCCACTGCTGTATGGATAGCTGTTATGTTAATGTACAAAATAAACCTGATTTAGCGTCTACAAACCAGAATTGAAGCGTCTTTTTTTATAATAGTTCTGACCTGCGGCTGTGATAATGAAGTAAAAAATGAATGAATGTTAAAAAATAATAATAATAATAAATAAAATAAATAAATAAATAAATAAATAATAAAAAAGTCAACAAAAAAAACGCTGTAATTCATTACAAACAGCTTTAAAAACATTTTAAACTTGTAAAAGTCATTCTTGATCACATTTGACGATGACTGATGATCACAGAGAGCTCAACAGATCTTTTAATCCTGGTTGCTTTGTGCACGTCCTGTCTTGTTGATATGATTATACGCGTTATTACAGGGACATGTTAATACACAGCTGTCAATCAATACGGTGGGCAGGGAAAACCGCAGTCCTACATCAAAATGGGAGGGATTCGGATCCTATTTTAACATCAGGAAATTTAGAAAAAGAGACTAATGGCGAGTTCAGACTGCATGATTTTAGCCCCGATTTTGACTCGCCGACAGGTTTTGTGAAATCGACAACAAATACCTGAAATCGCAGGCAAATCGGTGCTCGTGCACGCGAGCGACAATTACACAGTGTGAACAACCAAAGACGCGATCTGAGAATCGCCGATGAGTGGCCGATACCTGCGAGATATTTGTCATGCTAAATATCTGGAGCTGTCTGAGATTTAGGCAGTAGAACCCGTGTCTGTTTGACGTGTCATGTGACCAATACCACAACCGGGTCAAAAAAAGAAAGTTGAGGAGAAATTGCTAATTTCCTTCAAACCCAGGTGAGCATGTACATTTTCAACCCCATTAAAGGCTTCTTTCTCGTTATGTAGTTAATAACAAAAGATTTCCTACGTGTTTTTGGTTGTGAGACGTAGTTTGGACGAAGTTGTCGGGCGATTCTTCCTATTGTAAAGTCATGCAATGTGAAACCCCCTTGACGCCGATCCATCTTGCAGTGTAAACAAAGCAGCGACAAAATGCTTGCGCAGATAGTCATGCAGTGTGAAAAAAAATCTGTGACACGATTACTTTGAAAATCATGCAGTCTGAACTTGGCATGAGGGGTTGATCACACTGAACGCGGTTTATGCGTTGAGTGGCGCCTCTATTGAATGGTTTACTAATGGCCGCGAGCGTTTTGCTTCCTGCTTATGCGCCCTACACGCTCCGCGTTTTAACTGCCTGCTGCGCATCGCATTTTTGCCCTCGCGTGTCGTGTGCTCTCAAAAAAAAGTCAACTCTGAGTGACCAAAAGCACATTACATCACTCACGTCTTTTTCATTCGCCAATCAAAGGAAAGCAGAGGCGGGTTTCCGTTGAGGTGCCTGCAGTGTTTGTGTTATCAAGGCAACAACGGAGACTTTTGAAGATGGAGGAGACACTAGTGGTTGCTGTTTTTGGGTTATCGAGAGCTGTATAACTTCACAAATCATTAAAATGATATTAATATCAACAGCAACACTCTCGAACAATACCCAGCTGATTGAGTCGTTGCCTAGCAACATAAAAAAGCACACCGCGGCAGTGAGGTGCGCCTTGCATTTTTGGAACGCAAATGCGCGTTCGGTGTGAACAGCCCCTTATTGTGTTTCTATCAGCCCAATATGACTGTGGACACACTATATCTACACACAGCTCTGTCCAAACAGCTTACAAAAGAGGATTTTTTTTATCATAGGTGCCCTTTAAAACCTTTTCCAAACCATGGTAAACCTTGAAACTCATTATCATCCCATGCCTAGCTGCATTCATAGGTCGTTTATCCAAATCTGACCAATCAGATGGAGCCTTTATTAACTTCATCCTCTTAAAAATATTGTGTTCAGAAATGTGTTGAAAAAAGATTATTTCCATTAAACAGAAATTGGGGGAAAATTTACAGGGGGCTAATAATTCTGCCTTCAAATGTATATGAATATGTATATAGTGAAATATAGATGATCAACTTGTCCATAGTTTAAGTAGATGTGGTGTATTGTGCTCAGATCTGTTAGAGAAGATCAGCAGACTAAACAAAGACTTGGATATATTTCACTGTAACTATGGCAACATGAGAAACTGTACGGTGGCAGTAAACCAGTCCCCTTGGAAACAAATGTCTTCACACCTACAAAAAACTTCTAAATTGGTCCCATTAAACATAAAAATATAATTCACCAGTATAAAGACACTGCATGCAGGAGGGGGGAAATAATGGCTGCTTTATTTCTTCTACATGAAGAAATATAACATTAGTTAATTTTGATTAATTTTAGACTATGCTGCAGAATCAAAGACATTTTGGATTCGTCATGTAAATGTGTTTTTGAAAAAATGACAGAAACAATAAAATTATTTATTTATTTTATTTACATATGTATTATTATTAATAATATTATTATTAAGCAATAAAATATAGATTTTTTATTTTGTCCTTTTGTTTTTTATATAATGGTTATTAGGTTCTTATTATTTTCTCTTATATATGTTTTTATTTTATTCATATATATATATATATATATATATATATATATATATATATATATATATATATATATATATATATATATATATATATATATATATAAATATTATTATTATTATTATTAAGCAATAACATACTTTTTATTTTGTTTCGTTATTTTGTTTGTTTTATTTTTTCTTTTATGTATTTATTTATTTTTGTACTATTATCATTACTAAGCAATTTTTTTTATATTTTGTCATTATGTTTCATATAATGGTTTTTATTTTCTTTTTATTTTGTCTTGTCTTGTGTTTATATATGTATTATTATTATTATTATTATTATAAAGCTATTAAATACTTTTTTATGTTTTATTTTGTTTTGTTATTACTTTTATTTTTTATTTATATTTTTATTTATTCATATATCATTATTAATATTATTATTATTAAGCAATAAAATACCCTTTTTTATATTTTGTCCTTATGTTTCATATAATGGTCATTATTTTGTTATTATTTTGTCTTACTAAAAAACTAAAATACACTGTTCCAATTTACTAAGACCTTTTATGTGAAGCTACTTTGACACAATCTACATCGTAAAAGCGCTACACAAATAAAAGTGAATTTAATTGAATTATAATTTTTTTACTTTTATTTATGCATGTAATATTATTTTTTCATATTAATATTATAAAGCAATAAAAATTATTTTGTTATTATTTTGTTTGTTTTATTTTTTACTTTTATTTATGCATTATTATCATTTATTACTGAGCAATAAAAAAACTTTTTTAGATTTATATTTTGTCCTTATGTTTTATATAATGGTTATTATTTTATTATTATTATGATAGTTTTATATATTTTTTATTTTATTTACATATGTATTATTATTATTATTATTATCATACCTGTCTTTCGGATGAGACGACAGACTGAGGTCCTGAATCAGTGATCTTAGGGCACTTCTGGTAAAGAGTAGGGGTGTAACCCCGCTGTCCTGGATAAATTCCCTATTAGCCCTTAACCATCATGGTTTGAATTGGCTCTATGACTGTCTCTTCGCACTGCGCACTGGTGCCATTGCCCTGTGGCTGCCGTTGCATCATTCAAGTGGAGCTGCACGCTGGTGGTGGTGTGGAGATCCCCCTCATGATTGTAAAGCACTTCCGGTGTATAGCCATACACAATTAATGCGCAATATAAATACACATTACATTATTAGTATTATAAAGCATTAAAACACTTTTTATATTAATATTTTGCTTTGTTATTATGCAGTGGGTAGCATGATCGCCTGATTCGCCTCACAGCAAGAAGGTCACAGGTTCAAGTTTACCAGGTGGCATTTCTGTGTGGAGTTTTAATCTATTTTTAATCACTGTTATTACTTGTTTTAATTCTATTTTACTTGTCTCTTGTATTCCAGTTAATGTAAATCACTTTGAATTGTCACTGTGTGTAAAATGTGCTATAGAAATACACTTGACTTGCTTGCTGAAAGCATCCACCACTGTTATGCCATAGTAATGACTGTAGTAATATAAACTAATAACCCAATATCACACAAAGTTATCTACCATGATAGGGTATTGCAATACACCACCGTTTACTGTAGTAAAACTAAAGTATACTACAATATTACAGTTAAGCAGTTCACTATTGCTAATTATAATAATTACCGATTGCCACAGCATACATTAACAGACTGTAAATACAAGCCTATACAGCATAACACACGTTACTATAGTATAGTTCAAAAACACTCTGCTATTTACTAAAGATGACTAGTCATTTTTCGAGTGAGTTAATATTGAGGTAAAGTTGGTTTTATATTCATACATTGGTTGAGTTAACTTGTGACACGGTCCATATTTACCATTCGGTCTTAAATCATATGTTAGGATGACTACAAAACAACATTAGCATTAGCACATTAGCATTTATTTCACTATTAACAATGGTGCACTTGGATAGCCATTAATATGATTTAACTATTTATAATACTTTAATTTTAATTTATATCATTAAGAAGAATGTCTGAATGTGTGAATACAAAACCATTTTACCGCAATGTTAATAATAATGCTCAATGTCATGATGAGTATTAAAGATACCGACGTATGAGAAAATGTGCAGGCTTAAAACAATTCTACGCATCATGCAGCCTTGCATTATGGCTTACAAGTTAATAAATTGTTTTCAGAAATTAAGCGGTTTATTCCACAACATGCCGTGCAAATATTATGAACTGTCAGATGCTTAGCGAATAAAAATATCACAATCTACTTACGCAAATACCATAGACCAGCCATCTGGAGCTTTGGGAGTATATTTAGCTTTTCTTTGGCGTTATTGATTTTGTTCCTCCATTTAAAACTTAATTTTTGCGATGTACTTTGACAGATTCACACCGCTACATGGGCGCCGCCATGTTGTTCAAACAGCTTGAACTTTATTTAAACGTCAATATGTCGATGGCGAAAGGTAGACTACAAAAGTAGTAACTTGACAACAAGGAGCGCCTGACAACACACACCAAAACAAAACACGTGAAGTTTGTTTTAAATACAGAATTGACAGCTTAGCGAGAGACTCTTAGCGTTTTTAAACAGCACATATTAAAGCTCAACGGCTAATTAATCTGCGGTAAAGAGCTGGAATGGAGTGAAGAGACTCACCTGTATTATTTCGCGCAAAGTAAATTTTTTATCGCTTGTAAAGTGACGTGAGCTGTGTAACAGTATTTACATTTTTATTAAAATCATTATTGTATAAAAATAAAAATAATTAGCAACTCGAAAGAATAAACTGTATGAGCAGTATCTTCAATTCATCTTGGGATTTAAAGTAACATAGTCATTATTGTTGTCTTCAAAAGCTTAGTTTATTGCTAGAGGAGAGAAAAATAATTGTTTTAAATGTAAAAAGGTCAACAGTTGGTGTTTCTGTGTGGAGTTTGCATGTCCTCCGTGTGCTCCGGTTTCCCCCACAAGTTCAAACACATGCGCTATAGGGGAATTGGGTTGGCTAAACTGTCCGTAATGTATGTGTGTGAATCAGTGTGTATGGATGTTTCCCAGAGATGGATTGCAGCTAGAAGGGCATCAGCTGTGTGAAACATTTGCTGGATGAGTTGGCGGTTCATTCCGCTGTGGCGACCCTAGATTAATAAAGGGACTAAGCTGAAAAGCAAATGAATGAATGAATAAAAAGGTCAAATAATGAATAGTTTAATTTATTAAAAATAAAATACAACATATTTTAATATGAAAATTATAAATAAATAAATAAATAAATAGATAGATATTATGAATCCTAAAATGCAAAAAATAAGATTGGAATAAATATATTATTTATTATTCATTTTGATTAAAATCTAAAAAGAAAAGATAACAATCATAAAAAATAGAATAAGTAAATAATTATGTCAATAAATAAATATCATTTTAAAACCATTAATATTTTTAGACATGCACTTTATGGAATTTATCATTTTTTAAACAAATCTGTCTTTTTACACTTCAAAATTTTGGGTCAGATATACAGGTGAATTGGGTAAGCTAAATTGTCCGAAGTGTATGTGTGTAAATGAGAGTGCATGAGTGTTTCCAAGTGTTGGGTTGCAGCTGGAAGGGCATCCGCTGCGTAAAACGTGCTTGATAAGTTGAGGGTTCATTCTGCTGTGGCGACCCCACATTAATAAAGGGTTAAATAACCCTCTGTCTGATACAACTTGCCCCGCAGATGGGGTAAACAGTAACATTTGTACTCCTGGCACTTTTGGTAATACTGCACAGAAACCATAGGTCCGGCAATCATACAACCAGAGCTCATTTGTAGGAGAGGCTCGTGTGTTGTTGGTAAAAAATATGGTTTGTCTAACATTATTACCTTATTATGGGGTTATTATTGGCCACAGCCATGTCACCCTGCAGCCCAAGACCGGTTACTCACTGAAGCTAAGCAGGGCTGAGCCTGGTCAGTACCTGGATGGGAGACCACTAGGGAACACTAGGTTGCTGTTGGAAGTGGTGTTAGTGAGGCCAGCAGGGGGCGCTCAACCTGTGGTCTGTGTGAGTCCTAATGCCCCAGTAAAAGTGAAGGGGACACTACACTGTCAGTGAGCGCCGTCTTTCGGATGAGATGTTAAACCGAGGTCCTGATTCTCTGTGGTCATTAAAAATCCCATGGCACTTCTCGTGAAAGAGCAGGGGTGTAACCCTGGTGTTCTGGCCAAAGTCCCTCTATCGGCCCTTACGATCATGGCCTCCCAATCATCCCCTCTCCACTGAACTGGCTCTATCACTGTCCCTCCACTCCACCAATAGCTGGTGTGTGGTGAGCGCACTGGCGCCGTTGTCCTGTGGCAGCCGTCGCATCATCCAAGTGGAGGCTGCACACTGGTGGTGATGTAGAGAGACCCCCCCCCCCTCATGATTGTGAAGCGCTTTGGGTTTATGGCCGTACACAATAAATGCGCTATATAAATACACATTACATTACATTACATGTACTTTGTTCATTTGAAGACAATCAAAAATTGTTTGTTTGTGCCCCGCTCTGCCCCTAGCATGCTTTATTTTTAATTAAGTTTCTCTATTATTTTCAATTTGCAAACTTTCCGTTGAGTTCATTACTATGTGACATACAGACATAGGCTACACCATACATTTCTTATTATAGCAAAGTTTTATTCAGAAGGTTTGTTTTTTCTAGATTTCATTCCAGGGTTCACTGCTACGGATTTTTTCTACTGGTCCGATCGGGCAAGTGGTTCAGATTTTTACTTGCCCTGCCAAAATTTTCACTGGCCCCACCAAAAAAAAAAAAGGGAAGTTAATAGATATTTTTTAGCCACATATTTTAAATAATGTGTCAAAAATAAAGTCTGTATTCAATACTTAAAAAACAATTGTGAATATAAGTGTTATGCAAACAAAAAGAGCAGTATGGAAAATGTGGAGGCATTTGATTGCAGTTTGAAATTATTTAACAAAAGGTGGCTGACTTGTCAAACTGACGGCAAACTATGCATAACATCACTTCATTTTTATTTTGTCGTGTTGTTTCCAAGTAAATGTCTACTTCCAACAGGTTAGAGACAGACATTTTTCGCCTTTTAATTTGATGTTGCCGCCATGTTGCTGTTTTTACGCTGTACTGGTTGTTACTAGGTTACAAAAAAAATAAAAATAGCATGGTTAAATCAATCATATAAGACGAATCGCAATATGTTGTTTACGACATTACAGAGAAGGTAGCATTTAAAGATTTAAAAGCACAAGCTTAAAATGCACGCAATTGACAGATAGTCATAGACAAATTAAATGTTAGTGACTGACAAGGCAGCACTGTCCCAATCGGGCCAGTAATGATACGGTCTACTGTCCCAAGTGTCTCTCACACTGGCTCTGGGCCACCGGGCAGTGTTGAGCCCTGCATTCATTTAAGATTTAGGATGCACTGCCATAAATATCACATTATATGTGAGAACATCATTGCACTCTTCAGCGATGATTGCTGCCTGAGGCTATACTTCATTTGTCTATATTTTAATACAGCATTCTATCATCATAACAGGATTTTCCTCACCTTTTGCATTAAAAAGAGTGACTGCGAAGATCTCGTTGTTTCTCACTGTTACCCTAGCAACCCTTTTATCTCTCAGTTGCAGATTGGTTTTCTGTTGAAATTATTTTGATTTGTAAAGCACAAGCTCCATTTCACAGCAAACGAGCCAGAGCAATGATGCCTTTCCTGTAAGGTCACTCATATAATCACACACACAAAGCCTCTGTCTTGTGTTTAAAAAAAAAAAAAAGGTCAAACTGTGGGGAAATCGCCCTTCGTGATTAGATTTGTTTTTATTTATACCCAACAGAAAGCCTCTGTTTGTCTGAGATGTTGCAGAATACAGTTTTATGATATTAAAAGCATGTAAGGGTCACGAAACACCACATGTTTTGAGATGTCGACAGTCATATATGTGTCCCACGCTGCTACAAACACCATTAGGACACATATATTTCACACAAAAAAAAAGTCCATTCCTTCTTCCAGTTTGAAAAGACGTCTTGAAGCTGCGACACGGCGATGGGATCATTGTGTGTATTCCAGCGTGGAGACTGGAGGCCTGTACCTGTGGGTACAACATGACTTCATTGAGCTTTAGTTCACGAGAAAGACTTGGTTCGAACCAATCAGCACGCTCTATTGTGAACGACATGCAACTTCATTAATATGCATGATAGCTTCGAAGACTGTTTTTACTCACTACAGTGTTCAAAGAGGCCCTACGTTGTGTTCCCAACATAGACTGTAAAATATATGGACGTAGTATCCGTGACGTCACCCAAAGGTTTCTAAAGAGCGCAAAAGAAGCCACAAGTAGGCGCGGCCAACCGTCGCCATTTTGTTCGCGCGTCATCACACCCACAGCGGGATACCAAACAAGGGCAAAGAGGCGGAGAGTGGGCGGAGCTACAGACACCTGCTAGCATTTAGCTTGGACCTGGCTCAGACACACTTTACTTTGGGAGAAACGCTTAATACTTTATCACCTGTGACTCGTTTGTATTCTGACCACTTGTGCTTGGTTGTACACTATATCAATAAAGTGTTTAGTCTTTTAAAAACACTGCTGTAATACATTGAGCCACTAAACATTGTTCTTATGACGTTTTTCAACAGGAGGAAAACGCGAATTACTTCCAAACACTTCAGATATAGTCTGTGTTAGTTAATGTAAGACTATTGATGAAATCCAGCATAACACTGTATGACAACACTTCATATGACTGTTCTAGAGCCTACAGCTAATCAATCTGACAGATTCTGGAGTGCATTACAGCTCTAAATATAAATATAAACGATAAATGATCTTAAATAAAACAAATACATGTATAGAAATGGTATATAAGTATATAACTTTACTCACATGGGAAACGGAGGCTACGTGAATGGTTTGTGAGCACAATTAAGTGCAATCAGCATGCCATGCCATCTAATAATTGTAGGAAACAAGTCCAAAAGGCAGTCGACTGTGTAAAGCCACATAAAACATCACAGAAATACGATAAATATGCCGAGTTCAGTGGCTAATCTGCAGGATTCAGCTGAGGATACGTGACGGCGACCAGCGAGACCTAGCTGTCACTCAAGTGGCCACGCCCTTAATTATGCAAACTTAATATAAAGGAAACGGGTGAGTTATAAAAAAATTCACCCCCTCACAGTTGTCATGAAGGGTAATATTAGCTGTATTAACCAAAATCTTTTTTTGTACCAGGCTGTAAACACCTTTTTTTCTGCTGTAAAGTTGGCCATTCTAACAGTGGGCTCAATTGAAATTTGCTCTGTTTTGGAGCCAGGAGAGGCCAGGACTAGCGGAATTTCAGATGAATTGCAGTTTTAGTTACTTCCGTATTGGCTTCCTGAGAGAGAGCAGGAGGTTGCCGC